GGCTGCCGATATTTACAATATCTGATCGATCGGCTGAAAGAACCTCAAACTCTACTTCATCTGATCTAAGGACTTGATATGTAGATGCACGGTTAATGGCTTCGGTCATTAGCTTCTCAGCAGATGGGGCAAGTACAGAGCACCATGAGCAGCTTTTTAATCGCCTGTCATCAAACTCAGTCATAAGTTTGCTATGAATGCGCTCGATCACCTGGATAATTGGCAATTCCCGGGCTTCAAGAATCCATTTATTGAACTCCTCAATATTAGAGGATAGATGGCCAAATCGTGTCCCTTTAAAATGTACAAGGGCCCATTGAGAAGGATGAAATTGTTGTAACCATTTAGCAGCTTCAGGAGAGACCTCCTCTATTTCAGCCATTTTTTCTTTAAATGCAATGGTTGTGGTGGCCTCTGCAGCCTTCCACAGAAGATGGACAAGCCTAGAGTTCTTGAACTCTTTGCCAATGCTTTCAGTCAAGTGACGCATGCAGAATGCATGAGAAGAACTAGGGAACTTCCTTCTTACTGCATCCATAATACCCTTTTGCCCATCTGACAAAAATATAAACTCTGGCATGCATTCAATATTCACCTCTAGTATCTTATGCAACTCAGACAGGAACCATGTCCAGCTGTCATCGTTTTCTACATCAACAACACCAAAAGCAAGTGGAAACAACCCACCATCAGCATCAAAAGAAGTTGCTGAAAGCAACGTGCTAAGGTATTTGCTTTTCAGCTGGATTCCACCAAGTCCAACAATTGGCAAACAGCCATTAACAAAACCATAAATTGATCCATAAAAGGAAACAAAAAGTCTCTGAAAACGGTTATCTGCACCAGTGGTAAATATCTCTGCAACACTACCAGGGTTTGTTTTCTTAATTTCTTCACAGTATGAAGGAAGATGGTAATATCCTTCTTCAGAAGAGCCATATATAGCTGCAAGGCCCCTCTCCTTTGCACGCCAAGCTTGCTTATATGGTATGGTTATACCATATTGTTTATAGATATCATGTAAAATATCTTTGGGTTTATAATTGATGTTATCTCGCAACCTTTCTTCTATGAAACTCACAATCCAATCAACAGAAGCCTGCTGGTGCCCATTGTGTGCATTTCTTCCACAAGTATGTGTTCCATCAATACTTCTAATAGTAAATGTTGGGGCATTAGGGAGTTTGACAGCACGAATCCGCCATGGACAGCCATCTGAGGCACACTTAGCAAAGTAGCGAATAAGGTCACTTTTAATAGTACGAAGCTCAAAATGCTGTGCAATGGCAGCTTCTTTAATTGCATTCCGGAATGCCTTCACATCAGGGAACTCTTGACCAACAACAAAATTGTAGTCTTCCATAGAGTCAAGATTTACTTATTTGTTATTAGATGCTAACTTCTAGGAGGTACTAATCAGCCACTCAAACCTGTAATGAACTAATAGCAGTGCCATTTTCTCTATTATATATGCAAAAAAGTTTCATCATCCAAAAAATCTGCAATTATCGAGGATAAAATATATTAAACATAACTAGAAGAGACTGGTTTCTGTAAAAAAGAAACTAAGGATCATGAAGCAAGCAAAAATCTACAGAAATACAATGATAACTTCTTACACAAATTATTGCATCATAAATATTATAACAAAGATATAAAAAATTCTCTGCGGGAACATTGACACAAATATATGGATATGTTTGTCAACAACTAAAGCTTTTTCCCAGTAGGTGGGTTTGGTACATGGACCAAATGATGTCCTTATGTTTAATCAAAAACCAATTCCCCATGCCAACAATGGTTGGCACAAATTGCACAATTGGTAAGGTAAGGCTAGATTGTGTCAACTTAAGTTGACCAGGGTTTGAATGCAGATAGGGTCCTTTGTTGGTGAATGGTGAGCTATTTATAAGGACACTCGTACAAGAACTTGTAGATCACAGGCTGTTGAAATCCCAAATCGACTAGAGACATGACCTAAATAGCGGTGCTTATATTATATTTACAGTAACACATTCGAGCCTGTACCATTTACCGATAACTATGACCTGGACCCACTGTATTAATGGGGTTCAAATGAGATTTCATCCAAAGGGAGTGTTGGAAACAGTCTAAACTGCGAAGCAGTCTGTTACTAGCATTTAGCAAATTGGCTAAATATAAGTATGTAATGGAGTGTTATTAGCATTTCTCTACATGTATTTGTTTAAAAATTAAAATAAAATAACAAGTCAATATAAATTAGCATGGAAATTGATTTTAAGCAACATCAAATTCAATCCCCTGCTTCTCAACCCTAGCTGTTCCTCTATTCCTTCCTAATCATAAAGGAAATAAAGGACATATACTCTACCTAAGATCCAAGCTCAAACTGCTAGAGTCAAAAGCCCCCCCTCCAAAAAATAAAAATCCAAGCTTGCTTCGTTGAACTGAGTAGAAAGGCTCGTGTGAGTGAAGATGCTTCGTTGCAGCAAAATAATAATAAAAAAAGAAGTGTTCAAAAAATTACATACAAATATACAACATGAAACAGCTCTCTCACACACACACAAACAAAACATAATTAAAAGCAAACAAAACCCCCGTTAAAAGAAATAAAAAAATTGTCTAGAACCCAATTCATAAAAACGGATTAAACTAAAGTGGAGGAATGGAGTGAAAGGGAAAAAAAATGTTTACCAGAAGATGGGAGGAAGAAGAAGAGTAGAGAGAGTGGGATCCGATGCAAGATGAGTGGAGAGAGAGAGAGAGAGGTTAGGGTTGAAGTTGATTGGGTGAGTGAGGGGTCCTATAGTCACTTCATATTTCACAAACAACCTCACTCAGCTTCAGCTACTGCTGAGTCGCTGACACTGTTCTCCCCGCATCATATTCGATTTTTTTAAGAAAAAGTATAAATTATGTTTTTTTTTATAGAGTTAATCATCTATACATTACTGGTGTAAAGTTTTTTACACTGACAATCAATCTTTTAAATTATTTTATTCTATTATTATTATTTTATTAAATAAGTAATTGACATGATACTATTAAAATATATGATCGATTGTCAGTGTAAAAAAAATTTACATTGACAATGTATAAGTGATTATCTCTTTTTTTATAAAGTGATTATTACTGAGCCTTTATTTTTTTTTATTTTCTTAATTATATATTTATAATTATAATAGAGTAATGATATTTTTGCTTATAAATTCTTATAATATTTTATAAAAATATTAAATGAAAAATAAATGTATTAAATGATTTGGACATATAAAACAAAATAATTTAGTACTTCCCATATTAAAAACATAAAATATGTTTAAAAACACTGTAAAATTAGATCATATTAACGATTAATTGTATGAATTATTATTATTATTATTATTGATTATAATTATAATTAAATATTATTTGAGTAAATTTTATTGAAAAGTGTTTAAATGTTTTATTTCATTTGAATGTGATAAAAATTAATTTTCATGTAACAAATCAGCTTAAAAAGAAAAAAAAAAACGTTACCGAAAAATAATTATAAATTTCAAATTTTAAGTTTCATAGAAAAGCATCTTTATAGTAAAAATATTTATAAATTTAATTATGACTGAAATATGTTTTTAGTTCTTAAAATTTAGGATAAATTTATTTTTTGTCCCTCAAATTTAAAGTTATTTTTTTGTCTTGTAATTTTTTGAAAAAAATTTTTGTCCATCAAGTCACTAATAATATATCTAAAAATAATAAATTGAGATAATTATACAATGTCAACAAAATTTAATGTTATATTTTCATTAATAGAGATAATAGTATGTAGATTTTGTATGATAATATTTAACATATTTTTTTTATAAAAAAATGAATATAATAACTAAAATAAGATTTTTTAAAATTATAAAATTAAAAAAATTAATTTAAAAATTAAAAATTAAAAATAAAATTATTTTAAATTTACGTAACTAAAAATATATTTCAATCCTAAGTCTTGTTATTATCTAATATAGCTTATCTTGCAAATTACTTTCTTCTTAAAAAAAGTTCTCAAAAAGGCTCTAAGAGGATTATTAAGGTTAAATTTTGTTTTCCTTTCTTTTAGCTTTATGGTAAGATTATATTGAAAAGATAATTTAAACGACTCTCGTAATTTACATTCTTTATGAAATGCAGTCATTCATCTTAAAAATCAATTTAATTTGAAGCTTAACATGCTACATATCTACTCTAGTTTTCACTAATTTATGAGTTGCGGATAAGAATTAAACTCTTTTATTGTATTGTCATAAATTTCTTATTTTTATGTTTTTTTAGGTGTTATAAGTTGGTTGATGGTTTTGGGAGAGGGATATAGAAAATGATAAAGAGAAAGTGAATTCGAATAAATCTACTAACATAATACACTAATTATTATGGGTTTTCTATAAAAAAAATGTTTTTAAAGCAACAAAATCAGATCATTTTTATTGTAGACAATACAATAGAAATATGAATTTATACGATTGTCTATGAAAATAAAATTTACATTAAAAAATCTTTAAGTTAGTTCGTGTAGCAGTAAACAGAGCATGAATCTATACTTGCTCTTAAAATTACCGTACAGGTTTTCTAGCATCGGTTATTTGTTAATTTAACTTTGTCCCCAAAAAAGAAATAAGCAAAGTTATTTTTACTTCAGATCAAGGTTTTAAATTGCGATCGTCATCAGCATGATCTTTGATTTTGTTGAAAATTATGGACTAATTAGCGAGTGCCAGATTTACAATTTGTGTGCTTAATTCTTGCTTTACGAATTTCATTATTTGAAGAAATTGTTTTCTTAGACAAAAAGGAAGAAAGTCTGTGTTTTTAAGAAGACTCCAATTAGATTTTAGATTGAGTGAAGGTATAAATCTTTGACAAATGCAATACTTATCTTTGGGTGACGATTATGATTGTTTCAATTGCCACACTTCAACGACTTCTTTCTGCACTGTGTACTTACCTTGCCTCTCATCCAAGTAAAAATGCATACAATACCATACTAGTAGCCAAATATCACCAACTTGCATTGAAGACAATACATAGCATTTTTTTAACACTAAATCTAATGCTTGGAAGATTGGTTTTGGGGACTTCTTTCTTCGGTCCCAAATTCAATTTTTTTTGTTTTGTTTTGTTTTTTTTAATTTTATACAACAATATTGGTTGCAATTGCACAAAATGAGTCCCCTCTCTTATTCTTTTGACAGATAGTGGAATACTAGAGGAAAAAAGAATGTGGGAAAATGGAACTATTATATATTCCAAGCCTTTCCTTCATGTGTGTTCAATGGACAGGAGGGGCCCTGTAATATGCTGGCACAGTTGCTGGGAAGAACATTTGTCTTACTCCTTCAGCCTTAATAATGGGGAAAATGATGCCTGATGCACCCTGGCATATCAGAACAGAAAGAATTGATTCAAACTCAAATTTGTAGCCAACAACTAGTGGTATTTGGTGAGGTTGTAGAAGCAAAGGAATTTAGCACTTAGCAGTGATGTTTGAAATATCCTACATGTTGTTTAAGTCAAAAGGAGAAAGAGAAGTACTCACTGAAATCAATCTAGCTCCAATCCACATCCGTTTTGGAGAAGGAAATGGTATCAGCAAACGGCCAACACCATATATAGCCACTGCGAAGAAATGGAGAACCAAACTCAATGGACGAGGATTTAGACCAGACAGTAGAGCTATTGGTCCATTTGAGAAAACCCCTCCAAGGCTCAAGTAATCAAAACATGCTTGGCGCATTTCCTTTCTTGCTGGATCAGGAGATGCACAGAACACTTTGTACAATGCCCCAGCTAGTGTGTTAATAGTAGATGCTACTGGCTGCAAATAGAATCAGACATTACACTAAGTTTTTGTTTGGTCTTAAAGCTTTGTACCAAGCTAAAAGGAAACATTCATATCAAAAGGTGAAGGCTCAAAGTTATATTTATGTCATCAGAAAGTAAGCTATGCACCGAAAATTTTATACTATCATCTAATTACAAATCATCATGTATAATGAATTTGTCAACTATAATAACTAAAAAGTTAAACAATAGTGAATTGTAATTGGTTGACAGTTTTAAAATACTTTATACTGTCGATGCATAACCGTTTATCTCTTATGTCAAACTTACCTTGCGTAGGGTATAGAATGATTCAAGGTATCTGCAAAGAGCAGAAGCATCATGCAGATCATGAAGAGGTTTAAGAAGATCCCTTAGCACAACAATGTCGGATAAAGCCACAGTCATTCCTCCTCCGGTTAAAGGGTGACGCATATTGAAGGCATCTCCCATTAGAAGTGCGCCAGGTGTGGGATATGGTGAGGCAGGCATGCTTCTATTTGGCATGGTTCTTATATTTCCTTTGTCAACAGCTGCTATAAAAGAAGCATACAGCTCTAGAGGAACCTAAAACATACAATTTCCTCAATTAGTTTAAACAATATACCACATGCTAGTCAAAATATAAAGAGTATCTAAGCCCAGGCTCATATATAAATTTGGTACCTGGGGAGCTACCACAGTTTTCAAGTAACGGGCCATTTCACCACTACCAAGGGAAGGTAGCTTTTGTCCAGGAACATCAACCAAACAGCGAATCTCAGTGCTACTGATGGGATAAAACAAAATGGGTGAAGGATCACCTAAGATGACATGTCCATGATTTGCATATGGAAGATTACAATTCTCCAAGACCAGACCAACAAAATGGGAGGGTACTTCAACCTGACAAAAAAATAGTTCTATAAATTTAACCACATAATCCTTCTATTCACATTTAAAGTCGAGAAGAAAAAAAAAACAACTAGAAGACCCTGAATAAGGCCAGTACATTATCAGATATAACTGAATAGAAACATAGCATCCTTACCTTAGGATTGCAAAGAGAACGCCTCAAGTTGGAAAAACAACCATCACATACTATAGTAAGGGGAGCCTTTGCTGTGAACTCTTGTCCACTTTTGGTTTTGTAATGCACCCCAGTGATGATTCCATTATCTTCAAGTAGAGATGTGACAGTTCCTTGTTCTAACTTTACACTGCAGAAAATTAGGATTCAGTACAAGTTGAATGCAAATGTTGAACTTCATATCGTGAATAAAGCATCAGAAAATTATTCTTTTAATCAAATTGAATGAGTGATAAAATTGTGTACCTTGGAAGAGATGAAGCCTTTTCTCGCATTCTCTGTATGAAACGGCCATTATGAAAGCTTCTCCCAGAAACATCAGAGTCAAAATTTTCCAAGGGATAAGACAGCTTAGTATTTTTTCCATCCTTATACAGAGCATAGCCAAAGACTTGCTGAGCATCAATTTCATGCACACAATCTGCAATTATTCAAAAGTCCACCTGTTAACTGTTAAGAGCCATGAATTTGACCAGCAGAGTCAGGGGTTGCTAACTAAGCTACATACATCAATTGTTACAAAATCTTTCATGCGTTAAATTCCTTCAAAATAGCAATATGAGTTTAATAAATGCTATAATATAATAATAGTGTTCTTTCTTACACTATCATTCAATTATACCAGATTGTTGACTTTTATAATAAGTAAATCAAAAGTCGGATTTATGGTGATTTCTATATCTTCAATTAGAATTCTTGGAGTGTGACTTGTATATCTTTTAGACAATTTCACTCTATGCCAAATTGTTTTAAGATGAAATCTGACATCTATTTGATTGAGAGTCTAAAATTCTTATTCACTACGAAAATTAAACTCTTGTCATATTTGCAGGTTGCTTACCCTGAAGACCCAACTCAATTAATTTCAGATAGCCACCAGGTTGTAGCAATTCACCCACAATCCTGTCAGGTTCACTCAAATCCCTTTCAATCACATGGACTCGCCGTCCATCCTGCAATGAAGAAGCACAAAGCAAGATCGTTGATCATTCTCCAAACAAATCAAAAACATCTTCTATATCATATTTTTCAAGTAATCAGAAAGTAACTATTGCAGTGCCATGTCATAGATAAATGACACGGATCTTATAACACAAAAGTGAATCTGGTTAAATAGTTACATAAGTGGAAGGGAAGAAATATTTGACTTTTCTTTTCACATATTTCCATGCTTTCTTTGTCTAATTGCTGAGAAAACGGAATGAAAAAGATGATATGAACATTTTATCTATAGAATTAATGTTTTACAGTGAATGCCTATAGGTATAGCTATGCCTTCTACATTTCTATCCAGACATATAATTTCACTGAACATAAAATTGTTCACTCTTGAAGCTTACTTTTTTTTTTATTAGTACTAGCTTTTAGCATGGCACCAATCTTCTTCATTGGAACATATAAACAGATCTATATATAACACAAGCGAAAACATGATGCTGATGAAACGCATAGACTCAAACATGGGAAGGAAATAGAAGCCAAACCTTTCCAAGCGTGTAAGCAAGAGCTGCACCAGCAACCCCAGCACCCACAATGATGATGTCAGCACTTCCTGCAGCTTCATATGAACATTTTCCATTCTCTGATGTCTTTGCACATTCATTACTTTTTACATGTATTGAACTTGAATCTGTGTACTTCACCTTCTTCCTTGCTCCAAAACTGTACACAACATACACAAATGCCAAACTACCAGCCAGAATCACTCCCAGAATATACTGATAATCCATCATCTCCAAAATATTGGTGAAACTAGTTTTCTAGTTTCTTCGAACACCTCTTTGTTTCCTTTTACGTGACTTGCTTTTTTTGTAACATTTGCTACAACTATACACCAAACCTTTTCTTTTATAGGGAAAAATGGTGGTACATACTTAAGTAATAAGTATTAGTTCATATATTCGTTTACCTTTCACTTTTGTTAATTTTGGATATTCTATATTTTTCCTTTTTAATGAAGAAAGTAAGATTCGCTTCCCTACCTACCTGATATACTTTCCTGTTTATACTTTGTTTTTTTTCCATTTCTCTCATTCGGGCACCAACGTAGACGGATTTTGGTAAACCGAGAAACACTAATCCAAAATAGTAGAGACAAATACCATAACTAAACTTTTGCAAACTAAGACCAATAATTTTTTTACATCATCTCATATTACTAAATATAATAAGGCTATTTGTTGACAAATACAAAGAATTTAATTAAAATTATTGAGAGACAAAAATCATACTCACTTCGTATATAATAAAATATTATTCTAAATTATTTTACAAATACTAAGAAAAATTAATAAATAGACAAAAGATAATAATAATTTTACAAATGTAATTTTATAATTAATTTGGTAAAAAAAAAACAATACAACATCAAAACGATAGCTTTTTTTTTCTTCTAACATGATACTTGTTATGGGACAAAATAAAATATTAAACTTATGAAAAATATAATCAATAATCTTTTATATAGTCTCATATTACTCAAATATAATAAAGTTATTTGTTAAAAATGTGAAAAATTTAATCTGAATTTATTGACTTTCTACACTGATATGGATTCATGAATCGTTATATATGGTAAGATTATTAATAATTTTTTTAAAAAAAATCATGTTAGAGTGGAATCTCATTTTCTATACACTTTTTTTTTTCTCCATCTGTTATTTAAGATAGTCGAGACTAGTTTCACTTGACTTGTTGAATTTATAGCTGATTTTTAATTGAAAGCTTATACAGAAGAATCTCGATTTACGACAAATGCATGCTAATTCAACCATAAGATAATAGCAAGCAGAGTTACCACTGTTCGAACTCAACATAATGTCTTATGCCTTATATGTGATATAGGAGGTGACTTACTGAGATGTATGCACGTTGACTAAGGTAGTTTGAGTAGAATTTTTTTTTTTTTTTCATAAATAACGTTTAGATCAGATAAACATAAGTTATGTAAGACTAGAATTAATAACCAATCTTTTTAAGAGTTTCTAATGAAATTGACATGCACCCGTAACATTTATTGTGTTTAGAAAATCTGGATAAAACTATTTAAATGTTGTGTTTTTAAAAAAACTACATTTTTAAATAGTCATTTGAGATTCTTATATATAAATTGAAGACCAAAAAGATAAAATAAAAAAAAAAAGAAAGGAAAATAGAAGAATGTAATAAAATTTTCAATTTCTCATAATATAATTTTAATTTTTCCCATTATACTTTTTCCATTTTTACTTTGTAATATATTTATATTAATTGTTAATATATAAATTGGATTTTATGGTGATATACCTATAGTATAATACAGTTTTATATAGTCACCCAATCAAAATTTATCATAAATGATTAGTGTGTTGACTTTTACAATAACTATTTAAAAAGTCACACAAACCATGATTTCTTATTGGTTGATTATGTAAAAAATTTTACACTAACAATGCATCATCACTAAAACCATATAAATTAATTAAAAAATAGGTGAAATATAAGGATATAATTGACAAAAAATTATTAATACTATATCCATCTTAATTATAAGTTACATAAAATTAATAAATCATTAAGGTCAATAAAAATAATTAATATTTTTTCCAGTAAGGATAAGAAATATTACAAAAATAATCGTAATAAGGATTGAACCTACACCTCCATGCCTCTAACTACTCCAACCCATCCCCACGTCCAATAAGAATAATTAATATGATTATTTTTAACTAATTTTATCATAAATTTAAGTTTTATTTAAAATATACAATTTATTTTAGGTGACTGTTATATTTAAGACTAGTTATAAATAAATATATACAAAATAAAATTAATATTCTAAAAATGAATTTTTGTATACATTGTTAATTATGGAAATATTCTATGAATATTTTGTGATATTATATATATATATTTTAATAAGGAGGTATAATATATTTTGAACTATAATATTATTGCATATTATTTCATTATTATATATTTTAAATATGATCTCGTGTTATACGAGGGCAAAACAAAAGTTATATTAGTCCGCTCGCATTGCACGAGTTGAATGCATGTCCTCACGCGAAAGTCAATACATATAATAATAATAATAAATTAATAATACTAAATAAATGCAACATCCTTTCGTTCAGCATCCAGGCATATGCTTCAATGCAGCCCAAAGTATATTTAAAAAATTAAGTCTCACGGTTTGAGTGGTTTCGTTTCGTGAGAACGACTATATTAAAATATGAGTTAATCACTTATATACTGTCGGTATAAATTCTTTTATACTAACAACCAATCATATCTTTTAATAGTGTCATGTTAGTTATTTATTTAATGAAATAATAATAAAATAAACAACTTTAAAATATATCATTGGTTGTCAGTGTAAAAAACTTTACATTAACAATATATAAATGATTATCTGTTAAAGTATACATACTTTAATGTTGGTTGCTACGTACGTACGAGTAGAAATGAATTTTTTTTCCATGCTTGAGTAGAAATGAATTTGAATCCTTAAAATAAAATTTTGAACTATATAAATGAGAAAAAATAGTTATTGCAATAGATTTTATTAAAAAGTGATCAGTCAATTTTTTTGTTGATAAAATTGTTATTAATAAAATTGATAAGTAAAATAGGTAATGTATGTTATTTTGTAAGTATTTTATAGGGTAAAATAAGTGTAAGTATTTTATAAGTATATTTTGAGTTTGAGAGCTTCTTTAACTTTGAAATAAGACACCATATTTCTCCCCTAATTTTTTCTACAACAAAATTTAATGTATGTATACTTTAATACTTCTATAATGGTCACCAAATAGCGGTTAAATTGGTCCAAAAACCCATAAATAATAATTGATGCAGGAAATTTGAACAGATATTTTCAAAATTTTAATTTAATCTTTTTTATATATTTTAAAGCTAAATAAAAACATATACTTAAAAATTAAACATAGTAGTTTTTACTTCTCAAACATTTTCCAGTATAATTGTCTTGAGCATGCAACTTTTGATATAATAGTTCTATTGTTTTTCAATAATGCAAATGTGTTTTTCAGAGTTTTTTTTTCTTTTTCAATTTGCACCTTTTGGAAGAGCTTTTTAATACATGTAGCTTCTTGTCTTGCTACTATTTGATCATCTTATGTTTAGATTCTTATCATGCTTTTAGTAATACAAAGCTTTTGATTTTTCGAAGGCATGTTCAGTCTAGTATATGTTTTTGAAAGTTTTCCTTCTTATAATTTTTGCTTCGAGTGATGAGCAAGTTTTTCTACTTTCATGATTTTGGACAGTTGCATTTGCTGCATACTTATAAATGATGTTTTTCAAGCTTGATTTGTGTTCTTTTATGATTTGTTCCATGGTAAGTTATATTCTTATAATCATATTCTCAAATCAAACAATTGTAACTAAGTCCAAAATACTTGGAATTTGTTTATTGACAGTTTGTTATCATTTAACCTGTCTTAAAAAGGCTTGCAGTGCATCAACATTAATAGGACTTCGAAACTAATGGTGATTGTTATAGCTAAATCAAAGGATCTCGCAATTACGACTCTAGCAACACTTTTTGGAAACTTGCAATTGCGTAGGCTTGAGATGATTAGACTTCAAGAGCAATAAGGATTTGACAAAAAGAAAGAAATTTCTCTCAAAGCCACGACCTCATAATGATGGGGGACAATGATGTCTCGAATTCCATTGATCTGGAAATGAAAACACGAGCCTTCTTGTAAAGAAGTTTGGAAGGTTCTTAAAAAAGAAAAGTAAACTTAGAATATCAACTCTTAAGAAAAGCTTCAAGAAGAATGAAGCTAGCCAAAAACTCCAACATGTTATGAGTGTGAAAAGCAAGGATACATGAAAATGAAGTGTCTAATGTATCCCAAAAAAGCTTGAAGAAAAGAGAACAAATATTGTAAAGAGTTACTTAAAAGTTTTGAGATTGAAAATGCAAAGGAATCTGATACCCCAATGGGAACCTCTTCTATTAAGATAAGGATAAGAAAGGTAAATATCAATAAAATTGACTAAATATATTATATCTTAATCTTATAGCTAGTAGCCTAATATCTTGTTTAGTATGTTTGCATGCAAGATTATTTTAGGAAGATCATGAAATATCTTAATGATGTGTTTGAGAGAGGTAATTTAGTAAAGAATGTTGAAGAAAAGAAAGGATTATCAATAAATTAAAAAAAAAATATATATATGTAGATTTAAAGGAGATGATTTAAGTGGACTTGTGAAGAAATTATGGTAGGGCTCATGAGAATTTAATTCTACTCTCTTTTCAATATATTTATATAAATTTTTTCACAAAAAATTGTTTGGATAAGACTAATATTCTACACTAGTTAACTAGTAAAGGATAAAAATGTAATTATCTAAATAATATATTTTTACATAAAAATCTAACTAAATAAAGTACAATTTTAAAATACTATTTTATCCCTATTTTTACTTAATTGTATTATTTCAAATAACTACAAATTCTACACTATTTGTTGTCTATTTCTTATTAAATTAGTTCTCACTTAACTATTTTATTCCATTCCTTTCAATTTTTTTCTCTCCTCAAACAAAACACGAGAATATGTGACATGAATTTATAGTATCTAAGCGTATATCTACGGAAATGGATCCTCTGACTTTATGAAGGGAAAATTATGATAACTTAATGCATTTAAACCGTTAGATTTGTAATAATAGATCAGATTGTGACACGTGTACATTTAAGTCAAAATATATATTGTACACATGTCATAATCTGATTCATTTTTATAAATCTAACTGTTTAAATGCATTAAGTTACCGTAACTTTCATGTTACAAAGTTAGAGAATCTGAATCCGTGCATCTACTAGCTTAGTTGAATATTTTGATTCTAATTTTGTTTTAAAATTTCGATAAGAAAAGTATCAGTAGTACCTACCATTTATGAGGAAATGCACTTGTTTCTTCCATGTGTAGTCTTATCCATTCTTGAGACTGAAGATATAGTTGTTAGAAATTGTAACAAAGTTCTATTAACTTTTAGATCTTGTCCTTAAACTTTATCACTTACTTATTAGGTGTGACAACAAACGTGTCATTAAATTTACTAAGAATCTTATATTGTGTGTAGGACCAAACACAAAAATAAAACATCATTTTCTAAGAGATTGATCAAAGAGATATTGCATACTAGAATTTGTTAAGACAACCAAATAACTAATTTATATTTTCAACAAAACACTTGTTAAGGATAAATTGTTTTAAATCACAAGGTAATTAAGAATTTTGAATGTCTTAATCCATTTTAACATTTCGTTGCATATTATTTGATATATTTTGTATTGTGTTTTTATTTGATTGTGTTAGATGTTTCCAAAGTTTTTATATAATTTGAAATTGTTGTTGTTTGAACATCATATTTCCTTTTTTTTTTTTTTTTTATACAGGAACATCATATTTCTAATATGTTAAATCAATGTGTAATTTATTATTTTCTCTAGTTTTAATGGTAATGTAAGCGATTGCAATACTTTTGTAATTTGTTAATTACTCTTGAATTAATTAATCCCAAAATTCTAATGAACAATTTAATAGATTATAACCTCGTAATTGATTAAAATGTGTTGTTAGGAATTTGCATGCCTACATTTTTTTTTTCATATTTACATGCCTACATTGATAATCAATTACAACAATATATGGTGATCAATCAATTGCAACATATTGTAATCGTTTACAACGTAAATAATTTGACTTTGTTGTGTAATTTAATTTAATTTAATTGATTACAACAACGCAACCTTGTAACCGAATGTAGGTATATAATCATAACAAGGCGTTTCTAACAATACTTTTGTAACAAATTAAAACATGTTTCTTTTAATCATTGAAAATAAAATAATATGTAAAATTAGTAAACTTTATAAAAAAATTATTTATTAATAAATAAAAATTCAAATAATTACAGAAAAATAAAAAATTGGCCCCTTTTTTGGTGTCTGGAATCTGGATTCGTCCTGCTCCTAATCATAGTCCTTTTTAATTTAGCAATCTTTTGGGAGTTGGGAGGGAGAATTTACGTGGAACATATTGAACGTTTCCTCATCCTGAACCTTTTGTGACTAAAAGCATGGCATCTTAATCATGAACGCCAACAGAGGATGGTTAAAATTGTGAGAGCCACATTCACTTGATAGATAGGATAAGGCTTCAGAAAACTCAATTCCACACAAAATTCATTTTTATAAAAAGAGAAAAACATTGGACGTATATGTCAATGTCAACTTCTTCATTCCCATTATTATCTTAACTTCTTATTCTTTTGCACCCCTCATTTGTTTTCTAATATATAACTCCTTACCTTCAACACACACTGCTTCTCCCTCTCACTCTTTAGTAATAATAGTAATTCATAACAAATGGAAGCACGTGCAGGAGCCAATCTCCGTATTGCAACAATCTCTGCTCATCTTCAGCCTCCAAATTTTCAGGTTTCTTCCTTATATTTACTTCACTTTTTACGCACTATTAGTTAAGACTTTCCATGCAAAGAGTTATATACTTATGTGAATAACAAAGCAGTGAAGAAACTACAAGAGTAAACGTTCAACGCTTTTAACATTTGATTAGAACAACTTGGTTTGTGTTCCTTCCATTGTTGACTGCTTGACCGTGTGTATTTGAAATGATGTCTATAGGAAGGAAGTGATGTTCTTCTTAAGAGAGCTGAGTGCAGAGCTAAAGGTGGAGCACCTGGATTCAAAGTGGCTATTTTGGGGGCTGCTGGGGGAATTGGTCAATCCCTTTCTTTGTTGATGAAGATGAATCCATTGGTTTCGGTTCTTCATCTTTATGATGTTGTCAACACCCCTGGTGTCACAGCTGATGTTAGTCACATGGACACTGGTGCAGTGGTAATTTTTCTTTTCATACAATTATTGAATTTCAACAAGTTTGAGTAGTGAGTAGTTGTTGTGCTAATGCTGAGGCTAGTTACAATAGTTTTCCTCTTTGATACTGATGGGGATTTTTTATTTTTAGGATCAAGGAATTGTTTTATTGAGAAAATTTTGATGCTGGAATTTAGCAGTGTTTAGGTGCCATCTGTTCACATAATGCAATTTTTTTTTTGGGTTTGTAGGTTCGTGGCTTTCTGGGGCAGCCACAACTTGAGAGTGCACTCACTGGCATGGACTTGGTAATTATACCTGCTGGGGTGCCAAGGAAGCCTGGGATGACTAGGGACGATTTATTTAAAATCAATGCAGGAATTGTGAGGACCCTGTGTGAAGGAATTGCCAAGTGCTGCCCCAATGCAATTGTCAACTTGATTAGTAATCCAGTGAATTCCACTGTTCCAATTGCTGCGGAGGTTTTCAAGAAAGCCGGTACATATGATCCAAAGCGATTACTTGGTGTTACAGCCCTTGATGTTGTGAGGGCAAATACTTTTGTGGTAAGCATTGTTTTGGTGTTTCTTATTCAAACATTCTATATAACTCATTTAAATTTCCTTTCAGCTGTGTTGGAGAACTGAAATATCCAGTTGACTACAAGCTAAAAGTATAATCAAATTTTGAGTAAACTGTTACATCAAATTAGTTTGTTTATATTTATATGAAAAGTATTTATAATTATTGCTGGGTTGAACAGAGCAGATATTTCTACATCGAGATTTATATGGTATATGCTCAAATTGTATGAATACAGGCTGGTATATGACTGTATGTCCTACCATGTTTTCTTCTTGCAGGCAGAGGTACTTGGAGTTGATCCAAGAGAGGTTGATGTTCCAGTTGTGGGAGGTCATGCTGGGGTCACAATTTTGCCTCTTTTGTCACAGGTCTTGTAGAAAATACTTCCTCACTGTAAAAAATAAAAAAAAATTATAGAACAGGTCACTGACACTTCTTGAAACTTGGTTTTGACAGGTTAAGCCTCCCAGTAGCTTCACTGCAGAAGAAACTGAATACCTGACAAATCGCATCCAAAATGGTGGAACTGAAGTTGTTGAGGTAATGTCATAAATAATCTATAGCTTTAACATGTGACTGGAGTAGAAGAGGGGATACCTTACAAGATTCGTTGCACTTGCGTATAATATATTATTGATAATTTAGGCTCATACAAATATGTGCCTCTCCCTATGGTCATTTCAAAGATGAGTTGATGACAGAGTCAATGTCAAAGCTTTTTTGCTTCCTCCTTTTCAGATGCCAAAACTTGCCAAATGCTAGATATCAATTGTGAAACATTATTAGAGATTAGAGAAAAATATAAGATGATGCTGCAATTATAAGTTGCTTATGGTATTATATTTATATAAGATTGAGGCAGGCAAATGCTCCAATTTCCTTTATCATCACAGGAGAGATACACTTGAACATATCAATTTTGCTTAAGATGTTCAATTTCAAACAAGTGAAGATACCCAAACAATGTTAACAAATGATGCATACTGCTGGTCTGAATAGATTATCTCTACTGCTCTCTACCTTGTTTTCATCCATAACTTTATATATTCAAGAAATCTTAAATACATCATGTTATTTCCCAGTCAATATTTGGTTGAGATTGAATATTCATCATAACCTAATAACAATTATTATTCATGTTACAGGCAAAAGCTGGGGCTGGTTCTGCAACACTATCAATGGTTAATAATTTATCAACTTCATCTTCATATTTCTACAGTTGCATGCATTATCAATTAAGTGCTAACTAATTCCTAGTAGATAAACATGCAAAGGTGAAATCTCACTCATGATTGTGTAGGCATATGCAGCTGCCAAGTTCGCTGACGCATGCCTGCGTGGTTTAAAAGGAGAAGCTGGGGTGGTGGAGTGTGCTTTTGTTGATTCTCAGGTTACATTTTCAAGTCCTTCTATTCCTTGCACATGTTCTTCATCTTCTCTTTAAGATCTTGTTTAACAGTATCATATAACTTCAATAGGTTACGGAACTTCCATACTTTGCAACCAAGGTACGTCTTGGACGCGCTGGAGCAGAAGAGGTTTATCAACTGGGTCCCCTGAACGAGTATGAAAGGTATCATATCATAGTAGTTCATGAAACTATTCCCTATTTTCTTGGACACAATAAGTAGTACAAAGAGTGAAACTTTTGCCGTGTGATGCTTAACAGGATTGGGTTGGAAAAAGCAAAGAGAGAACTAGCAGGAAGCATCCAGAAGGGTGTAGAATTCATCAGAAAATAAATGTGATCAGGGAAAACTGGTTTTTGTCTCTTTTATATAAGTGACCTTGTGTAATACTTCCCTTTGTTCATAGTAATTTTTTTTTCTTATGAATAGTACTCTAAATTTTTGGTGTCATCCGTAACTGCTGATGATAACGGAATTGACATCAGTGGAACCGCATAATGATCTGAAAGATACTAGTAATATCGGGCCTTTTGAACTGTTTCCCAGATCTTATTTTCTTCAATCCTTCACTTATCCATAACACATTCGACATTGATCATTTGACAATTCGAAACAGATGGTAATGGCTCTTTTGTCCCTTGAGTTATGCTGTATGCAAAATGGCAATGTGATAGAATTTTGGTGATCATATTATCTCTTCACCATTAGTCCACTCTTCTATCACCCCTGACAACAAACTTATCCCCTCAATATATTGCATATTTAGGGATAAAAATACATTCAAATACAGGAGGACAATATTATGTAAATACAAAATTTGTAGATATATTTTTTTTCTGAAAAATAAGTTATTTCCATGTATCTAAAAATTTGAATTTTATGGTTATTTTTCATTAGTTTTTTTTTTATGTCTCTTAAAGTCGATTTTTTTCGTTATATTAAAATAAAATTAAATATTTCAAAATCGTTTTTCAACAAATTTATCCAAACAAATATTTGTTCACTCCTAATTATAATCAATACATATACATATAAATGATAATTGAAATAGTTTCACAACGTTTTGAGCATTTAAGAATGATGCTTTTATATATTATTTTAAACTTTAATGGAATATTATAGTAAACAACTTTTTACATGATTGAATTCAATGGCAGCCTAAACATAGGCTGGTGGGACGATTCTCCAGAGCCCTATTGTGAGAGGAGCACAAAAAAAATTATTTAGTATATATATTACAAAAAAAATAATTAAGTTATTAGAAATTCATTAGAGAAAATAAATTAATTATGAAAAATTAATCAATAATTGATTTTTTTATTAATAAAAAAATTTACTTATAATTTTAGAAAAATAAATCATAATATTGAATGTAAAGATAAAAGTATGATATGCTATTGACTATTTCTTTTATTTTTCTTTTTTATGTAAACTTGCATAACCAATAAAATCATAAATAAGAATTTCTTTAATTTTCTATTTTTTTTTATATTTAATTTCTTTGATTTTCTTTTTATTCTTTTTAAATCATATCTTATCTTACGCTACTAAAATCTTGAAATCAAATTATAAATTCTTACCTTTTTATAGTTAGTTTCTTTGTGATGTGTGAGTATAAGTTTAGTCATTTTTTTCATGTAATAATATGTTTAACTATTTGTATGTTTACACTTTTAAATTTAAAAATTAAAATCATAAATAATATTTTAAAATTTATTAGGATATTATTTTTTTACTTTAT